ACAGCTGACACGCGGCAAGAGGCGGGGTACACCCTGGACTGGTTGGCAGTCTATCACAAGGCTGACACTTAGAGACAAACCACTCATACTCATACTCATACCAAGATTCAATCAAATTAAAATCTTTCATTCACATTTCATGTTTGTTTTGCCTCCCTCTGACCCTAATACAGATACAGACAAAGAGAAAAACTGACTGATGGCATATACAAATGTGTGATAACTCAGTGATGCTGTTGTAAACAACAGACATGGGGGGGGCTGACTTAAATGTTCAAAAGTCAATGAAACAATTGAAAAATGTAATATTTACAGCAGGGTACTCACAGCTTAGGGGGAAACAGCAGGGCCTTTGTTTAAATAACTACTGTGCCACATGTTAAAGATTTATTTGTTACTCACTGAATGATGAAGTAAAATTAATTTTATTTTCCCTGTGTTGTTTTAACTTGAGCTTCCACATCTTGTGCAGCTGCAGCATAGTTTATGTTAGAGTCAGTGTCATGCTCGTCTACTGATCGGTCTGTAAATCACAATTAACAACTACCAAATGCGCTGTGCTATCCTGATTAAACAAAGAGCATTTTCCCACTGCACTGAGGGAAATAAAATCAGCACAAGAAACTAGAGATGTCCTGAGCTGATCCTAAGGATTGTGATCTGGGCCGAGTTGAGCATAATTTAATGGATCAGTATAGGCTAAAATAATGTTAATCCTTCCTTTTACTTGTACTGAAGTTTTTAACCTGGGGTTCTCTTCTCCTCTCTCTGCCCTACTAACACACAGAATGAGGCAGTGGGGAGATTAGATTTTACTTGAGTGGACCACAGTGCTCATTAACTGCACGTGCAGCAAAATCTGCCCGTACTGGAGACACTCTGAGCACTTTATCAAACAGCTGGTGAATAAGCAGAACACAAATGTGCAAAAATATGTCTTTGCAGCTTTACTGTGGTCAACTTGCTGAAGTCCCCTTTTCACCCCTAAAACTGTTTAAGTGTATGATTACACAGTCACACGCGGTGCTCATTATGCTAATTTTAGTGAACTGTTGTAAATGAGCTCAAAGCAAACATAATTAACTATCAGATTTGCTGAGTTTTTGTAGACCTGTCAGTTGACACCAACCAGCTCCTCCTCTTCATCCATCTCTAGAGCAATGTGTGCGTGTGAGTGCACGCCTGGTATTACTCACACTGTGGGGACTGAAACCTGTTTTTCATGTGGGGACCAGATGCTGGCGCTGTAGTGTAAGCTATGGTTTGTCTATATAAAGCTTGTGGTAAATTAAAATGTTTTTGTGGATCAGTAATAATAATGATAATACTAATGCTTTATTGATCCCCATAGGGAAAATCAGGTGTTACTGCAGCAGAACAAAAAAATTACAACAAATGTAATAAAATAGAAAATATAAAGTTACAATACAGTAAGGTGCACACTCAGGGTGTCCATGAGCTCTGTGAGGTGTTGTCCACTCTGGCAGTGATGCAACAACAGGTGACAAGGTGCAGAGTTGTGAGTGCAGTCTGATGTGAATGAAGCAAGTCCCCTGCGGAGTCCC